GGGGACTTTATGTAATTCGGCAACTCGAACCATTGCAATATCTGTTTCCAAGACAGTCTATTAGTTTCCGAACCATTAAAATTATTAACAACCTCGCTCAATTAACAACAAATTCACAACTTCAAAACCGGAAAAAATAAGGGAATCAAAATTAGTACCTGTTTGTAGGATTTGGAAAAGAACCAGAGAAAAATCTTTACAAATATTCAAGCTTCCTCTACCGTAAAGAGGTAAAAAAATAATAGAAATTAAAAGGTTAAAAAAGATTTACCTGAATCAAAGACGAAGAAATCGAAGAAACTGGTAAGCTGAAGAAGGAAGCCTTTTGTGATCCTAGTTGTGAGGTTGCTAGGGTTTTTTTTAGAGATATGCTGGCCGATAGGGGATTTCTATTCTCATCTCAAAACAATCCAAAATCAGAGAGGAACTGAATTGCCTATTCATATTACAATTCCAAATTTATGAAAATATATAAATAAAAATTAAACAGTAATTTGTTAGTCCTATTACACATACAACTCCAAATCAAATAAAAAGGTAATTTCCTAATCCTATTCCGTCCAAACACCTAGCTTCGCCTCGCTTCCTCCGTCATGATGTCCACCGTGATACGATACATGCGGATCCTCCCCCACGAATTCGATCTCGTACAAGTGAAGGAAGTCATTCTTGCAAAATCTCTTCGACAGGGTGACTCCGGTTGAACTTATGGTTTTTGTTTGGTTAAATTTGTGGAGGTGGAATTGAGATAGTACGAATTGGAGAAGCATATTTAAGGAAAATATATTTTCGAGGTTTAGTGGTGGCGGAGGATGTAGAGAGGGAAGCAGCAGTGGTGGCTGAATCGACAAAGGGGGACCTGACTGAGTAGGCGGAGCACAGGCTTATGGAGGTTATTAGTGGGAAAAAAATTGGGAACAATGACGGGGGTTGTTTTGGGATTTTAAACGGTGTGAGTTATTTTTTTTTTCCTAGAGGAACCCACAAAAAGTCGTTTTGTTGCTGTTTCTTAACCAAAAACTTTCAAGTTTTGTAAATATATTTTTTTCAGGAGTGGGGATTCCAAAGTTAAATCCTGAAACGACATCCTTTTATAGGTTAGGGGTTTGTTTTTTTCAAAAGGTTACGGGTTTTTTTAAATTGGAATAAACTGAATTTTTGAATTCTCGTTTTTGCCCTTAATAAGTCGCTGACATCACATCAACCTTATCCGACGGACAAGATCGATTTGACGGTAGTTCTTGAATATTTCTTGGGCATTATTTCTTGGCTACTGTGCCTTTTATTTAAGTATAAGGACAAATGAGATCGAAGGTATGCTTTCCCTGGTACTAAAGGGCAGGGAAAACATAAGAGAGATTTCGTTCGACGTTGGAATCCCGCTTGACGGAAATCCTTCAGATGGTCTTGATTTTAGTTATGTTCATCCGGTACGATTTATGTTTTCTACATGCTCTCTGCAAAAGCTAAAGTTAAGAGGATTGATGCTTGAGGTTGCGGCTACGCGCGAAATCGATCTTCATTGTGGGAGTTATACTTGAGAAGTAATTGTGTTGGTGATGAGCATCTTGATTATGGGTTACTGCGGAAAATAATCATGAAGTCTCCTCAACTGGAGATTCTAAGAATTTGTGATTGTCACGGATTCTATGAGAGGAAAGTAATCATCGGACCACATCACTCGTTGAAAAGATTTGTATTCGAAGAAAATTGGGGAGTGGAAGAAATTTTGATTGAAGATGCACCGAATCTGGAGTATCTTTGTTACTCGCGCAGTTCTTCGGCCAAGCTACATATCACGGGTTGTTGCAAGAATTTAATGGTTCTCGAGTTGAACAGTTTAACTAACAGTGAAAATTTGTTCAACTCAATCCAGCCGCTATTACTTTCGAATACTCTTGAAGCACTTCAAGTATTGAAGCTTAGATGGGAATTTTTTAGTACGGAGAACAAACTTATACATATCTTAAGACTCCAAGAATTTCAAGGTTCTCGAGTTGAACATTTTTTATGGCAGAAGACTGAGTTTTGAAGAGCTTGTGAAGCTGCTTCCAACTGTGAAGTTGTTTGATTTCTTGTATTATGGGTCTTCCAGGCGCTGCAAGTACTTTATGATTCCAAAACAAAACCGCATGTCCGTAATTCAGGATCCGCCTCTCTGGAACATCAAGCACTTAACTATTTGTGGGGCTCATACGAATAGATGTTTACTGGTTGATGTTGATACATTGGAAAGTTTGCTATGGGTAGCTCCACGATTAGAAACACTATCTTTTGTTGATGAATCTCATTCCGTAACTTTTAAGTTTGTATACGAGAATTCAAGGTGTGTGGAAAATGAAGTTGTCCCTTTTATATCTGATGGAAAAATTTATTTGGTCAAAGTCAAGAGTCGAAAACCGTCAAGAGAGAAAAAGAACATTAATGGAGGTGAAGAAGTATTCTTTTGGTGAAGCAAATTGCTTCTTGGTTGGGAACGTGAAAGAATTTGAAGTTATGGTGACGTATAAGGATCAAAGCTGCACAAAGGAGACCCCCAAGGAAATCAACTCGTTCTTCCTGAAATAGATTCAAGGTCAGAATGATGAATATCTCAATCTATTTTTGAATATATCGCTGAGAATTTTGTTTCTTTTTTGCATCTAGCTCTCCGGGTTTTGGTTTTATGTAAATATTTGAGTCTCTCATACCTTTTTCTAGGACCTATATTTGCTCACAAAATTCTATTGAAAACGGAGGTTTCCAAATACATTTGAAAATGGCAATCAAAATCTTAATCTAAGTATTTGGAGATGGCAATCGAACTACTTGCTCTCAAAATACATTTGGAGCAAGAGATTACCGCAAAACTAGATCTTCATTATTTTTTTTTTCTTTTTCTTAGAGTATCTCCAATCATTCCACTATAATTTGCACCAAGTTTAGTGTAAAAATAGAATATTCTAAAAATCTTTTTACACCAAAGTTCTTTGATCTCCAACCTTGATGCACCAAATGGTTTATATATTTAATGTTTTAAGTTAAATTTTATTTTTTGATTAATTAAAATCTTGTAATTTGTTGATAATTTTTTGAAATATGTTTTTTATAATCGCTTTTTATTTGATTGTAGTAGTATAATTTTTTTTTTCAATTTTGTTTCATATTGACTTTTAATAATAACTAAAACCTAATTTTTTTAAACAAAAAATTTATATTCAATATGGGTCTTATTTTATAGATCTCAACATAATATTTAATATGATATAATTTTCACAATATAATGCGTTTTATAAATTCAATTACAGAGCAAACATATATTTAGATTATAGTAAAAGATAGTGCACTAAAAATAGTGTAATGGATAATTTACACAAAATCTGGTGTAGCACTATTCATTACACCAAAATAGTGCAGTGATTTGGTGTGTTCATTGGAGTGTAATCTTTACACAAAAACACCAAATTTAGTGTTTTGGTATATTGGTTGGAGATGCCCTTATTGGTCCAAATAAGGAGGCATAGCCAACATCATCAGGACTTTGTGTCGCTATTGATGCCAAACAATCAAATACTAGATTAGCTTCTCTAAATAAATGTTGCAACTCCTAACTCCAGTCTCTGCCGATCAAGCGGCAAATGCCACGGACGAGCTCACTAATTGTAACCCTTGGAAAAATCCCCATAACTCCGCTCCGGTAATGTTTGCGTGAAAATTATGCACCTGAAGCCGTGGGAAAAAGGGGAACAAAATCGCCCAAAATGCAATTAAATCAGACGATTGTGGTTGAGTTTGAACCGGCCTCGGAGCAGGATCAAGAACTTAGGGTTATTGGCTTTAGTTTGAGAAAGACAAGTAGAAATTGGGGAAAGTGGGAAAAAGCCGAAGAAACGGCGTTTGACTCATAAAGTGGAAAATCCTAGTGCCGGCAAGTTGTAGATGGTGCCGATGACACGCTATTACATAGAAGATAAGGATAGGACGGACGTGTAGAGGGTAGTCCGACATATATAAGTGTTAGAACACCTATTACAGCATACCTGAATTCGTTGGAGTAGAAAATGGTGAACACCTACCTAATTCTATGTAGGAGAAAAAGGCAAACAACTCTATTGCTAAGCTAAGGGCTAAACAAGCATGATAGAACTTGAAGAACTACCATAGGGAAGCTAAAAACATGATAAACGATATAAGAAATAATAAAGGACAAGGAAAACCAGTTGTATGGTTGATTGGTGATGATTTTCTCTTCATGGCTGCCTCTATTTATAGTGCTTGGACGAAATCCTTACTGTCCTATGATTCCTTGGAGAAAAGGTAGCTTAACATGGTCAATTTCCTTGAAAATAGGAAATTATTCCCGCAGCAGTCTCCCAATTGGTTGATGACTCTTCTCACCATCAGCTCTTAATTTGGTAACAGAATCCTTTCCCAAATATATCTTATTAATTACTGGTAATTTCTCTTATTAAAAAGAGTAAGAAATAAGGAAGAATCTTCCTTAATTGTCAATTAATCATGCAGCCGATTCTGAAACAATTCTATTCCCACTTGGCTTCTACTTTCCTTCTCCAATTCTGAAACTGTTCACACTCAACCAGGCCATACTGACCCTGAATGAATTTTGGCCACTTTTGGGCTATTTTGGGGCCTTAAAATCTCAGCCATAATCACTTAAATTCACTAAAACACATGGGCTATTACCAACATCACATGTCGGCCCAAATATCCAAAAACTGGTCGAACATAATGCCCCCTGAACGTTCATAGTAAATATGACTTTGATATGAACGTTGATAAACACTTTGCTACCACCAGCCGGACGCATTCCACGTGGCCCCTAGATCAACATAACACCATCCCACCAGATACATAGCATAATATGGCACCAATGCATATGTGAATAATACGGATTGAAGAATGGTGCATGCTTACTTTTTTGCGACGTCTGAAACTTCCCCTTAAAGCCACTAACAGTTCTGGAACGAGACTTAGACTCTTGTGATCTTTGCCTTCACGAATTAACTTCTACGATTCTTCTGTTCTTGAGCCATGTTAACACTAAGGCCCGATTTTGGACTGAACCGTCCATCTGAAGTAGGAGAACTAGAAGCACTGTTCACGTTTTGCTTCTCATCATCTTGAAGTTTAATACCAGGAACAACTTTGTTCTTGACCTCCCTTGTAACTGTTGACAAGTGTCGACCTTGAAAATTCAATGAAGAAAAATATTCACCCTCTCGCACCGTACCTTAAATTGGTAATTAAACTTCTTAAGAACTAGATTTGTCGCGGTAGCACTACTGACTATATCAGAACCATTTTCCTTGGCACCTTCCTTGTCAATCACTGCTAACAAATCTTGACCTTGCACAATCAATGGAAAAGTAATTGGCTGGTCACATCTTACCTCAGGTTGACTGCAAAACTGTATGAAAACTGGGCAAGAGATGGCAGAACCACTAATTGTATTAGAACCGGCCTGCTTGCAGCTCTTTTCTTTGCTGATTGTTGATGCCAAATTGATCTCACTTAATGTCGCATGAACCATTTGTTCACTTTTTAACTGCGATTGAATCTGTTGCTCTTCAATCGGCTTAACAAATTTTAGCTCTGCTTGACCCTTTTCCAACTTGTCATCCTTCTTTAAATGATTATCTTTGTTGCGATCACTATTCACATCAACCTTCGACTTCACATCATCATCCTTTTTGGCCACTATCTTTTCAACATAAAATGCTCTAATCCTCTTTTGGTGTAGACCCAAAAAGTTTGGCATAATCTCGAGTGCAATGCCTTCTCCCTTGACCAGCAAATGATTTCAGGATTCTCTGATCAGCGGCCAACTCAAACTTCCATTCTATAGCAGCACCATAATCCAGCCAGATAATGTATTTCTCTTCCCGACTCTCATCGGATTCAGCATCAACACGAAGAGAATCGGCACCAGATAAAGAGTCTGTAGACTTGGCTCTATCGGCGTGATAAAAAGAATGTTGCATGGACTTACCTTTACGCCTTTTGTTGATAGACCTCATGGAGCCTCTCTTGTCGTAAATCCATGCATGATTGGAGCATCTTTTGCTTGCAAAGAATGACCATTTGCTTAACTCGATCGCCACCAGAATCGGTATGCCGAACTTGACTTTTATTACCACCAAACCCCTTTTTTGGGACGTTCTTTTCTTCCTGCAACTTGATCTTGCCCATATTAACCCGTTCATCCTATTGTGTCTTCAAACGGTCTTGATCCAGTTGCTCAAGAGAAACAGAATCAGCCAAGAATCAAGCTACTGAGCTTTATTACTATTATTGCAAATCATTTCTACAGATACTTCACCAGTAACCAATGATGTGGCTGTGCTTGCTTTGGTTTGATCAACACTGAGTGGTATTAGTATGCTTTTATTTTGCCGATTAAACTTTGAGGAAATAGAAGCTGAGGCGGCCGATGTTCTGTACGGCCGACCATTAGAAATAGTCCCTTTGGCATTTCATTAGCTGTCGGTGAAGTGCCTTTAGTATCATCCCTATCAAGCATTATCAATCGGATATAAAACAAGACTTTCGAACACAGCTATCATTAGAAGACTCGCTCTTTTAAAACACGTTGCTTGAGCTGCCTTCAATTGATGACAACTTCATCTCTGTCATAGCAGTGAAGTCAACCCCGGCTGAATTCAAGCAACATTCTTCTTCGTGCTCCGATGGTGAGGAACCCGAAACCTGATGGGAAGGGCCAAAATGCCATATGTGACCATGATCATTAAGACTTGTATCCATATTTTTCAAATCATATTCAATTGAGGACAGTTTGATTTCACTTGTTTCAATTACATCGATCTTGAGTATTGTTGAACGGTCTTGACCTCGATGACCCATAATTTTGTTGTCTGTAAAGCTGTTATCACCATGGTCTTGAGGTTTTGCATTATACCGGTCTCTTCAATCAATTTTCTCGTCTACCTCCTCATTCTTGTAGATTTGACATCTTCACTTTGTTGGTCAACACACTCTTGAAAGCCATTAACATCTACGGAATCACCTAGGAATAACGATTCAATTTCTATCTCTACCGTTGGAACTTGGGACACGTGTTGCACCATACTATCAAAATTCCCCATACGGCATCCATGTCTCTATTCAAAACATCAAACATTTTTTCTATGTTCACCATGAATGTATGAAGCTGCCATTGGTTATCATCAATCTTGTTGAACCCACTTATATTCAGAATGGATGATGGGTATTTCACAAGCTGTCCTTTATCACCTTTACTAAAAATCATAGAACCGAACTGAAAACTTGGATCAACATGATATTGACAAGTACCCATATCTTCTGGACTGAGTGTGTAAGGATTCGTGAAACAAACAACACCAAGTCGATGTGTATCATTGTAGACTGCTGATCGTTTGACGGTTCGCCCAAACATCAAGTCATGACTATCCGATAACCAAGATTTATCATCAGCAACTTGCCCCCCGGGCATCAAAGAAACTTCTTGAGAATAGCGGCTGTCTGAATTAGTCGGCCCTTCATCTGTCAGTAACAACATTCTGGATCACTGATCCCATTCATTAATTATTTGGAACCCATTGCTGCTATGACCGGCATCATAATAACTAGTACCTACACATATCTGTTTCTTGTTAACCAGCCATTTTTCTCGAACATAGTGCCCAGCTGTGGAATCACCAACCATGGGGACCTGCCTAGAATACGCATACTGTGGGTGCTGTGACAGTAAATGTTGAAACAATCAAACATGCATTGAGAACTTCGGACACCGATGGTGCTCCAGCGGCACTCGTGACAGATTCTTCATTAATGGTATTAGCACATAAACCGGCAAAAGTGATTCTTGCAACTGACCTTGTTCTGACTGAGACATACTCTAAAAAGATCTACTTGGCACCACTTGTTGATCAAACTCGTTGTTTCGCACCATCTGTCTTTGAAACTGTAACATCTGCCCTTGGAACTCTTTGAATAGTACTGTCTTATGATCAAATGGCATCGCCTGCTCATGGAACACCGTTAACTGTTGTTGAAACTGATGGGATCGTATCACTTGTTGTTGATCTTGTTCTGATGATAACTGGAACTCCTTAGCATGTATTTGCTCTATCGGCACCAACTGCTGGTTTTGTGCCGTTAATAGTAATTTAGAACCCTAAAGATTCTGTAAAGGCAACTTCACCCATTCTTGAAACCGCGTCGTTTCATGTTGAAGATGTTGATCCATCCATCGTGCGATCGGTTGATAACGTACCAAGGATGATTGATTTCCCACTGCCGATTGCTGCACTTGCTGATATTCTAACGATGACTGCTGCAACTTTATCATTGATTGCTCAACTTGCCGACACACTCTTGATGACAATTTCAACTCTTGGAGTGATGCCCGTAATCATCGCATCCATAATTGTTGTTGCATTTGCTGGATTTGTTTCACCGATTGCTGCTCTTGTTGAGATTGTACCAACAGTTGTTGGATCGGTGCTATAGATGGACCAGCATGCTCGGATTGCATTGGAGATGGCTGAATCTGCTGAAGTCGCACCACTGGTTGTTTTGCCTGCAACAGTGGCTGTAACGACATCTCATTCAACTGCATTGCTTTCTGATCGGTCAGTCGAGACTCTGCTGATGATGACTGTGACTTTGTGGACTGTAACAATTGCTGAAGTTGTAACTGCGTTTGAGTCTGAACTGACTATGAAATCTCATGAACTGATTGAGGCTGGATCTCTGCCGATGATTGGTGCTGAGCTGATTCCAGAGACTGTGTTAGCTGCTGGGACTGTAATGGCATAACCGATTGATCAGTCTGCTGGGGTTGCTTCGATTGTGACCAAACCCGTCGGATCAGTCCAGATGGCAACTGAATATCTTGATACTCCATCGGCAACGAATATGGTTGGCGGACATGTGTCGATGCAAATGCTATTCACTGATTTTGTAACTGCATCTGTTGGATCTGTTCCGTTGCTGAATCATGATGTTGAATATGTTGCAAGAAAACATGTTGGTCTGGTGAGATGATTGCAGAATCATGATGGGACCGCGTCAATTGCAATTCCATAGATTGTGTCGTCCACTGATCGGCCTGCTGAAAATCTACTGGCCATGAATAGGATTGCTAGATATGCATCGGTGATAGCTGACTCTGCTGTGACTGCAATGATAGCTGTTAAAAGGTCACCGTCGGATTCTGAAACTGTTGGGAGTCATGATCAAAAGTTGTAGATTGTTGTCCACCATCTTTGAATAGAACTTGTGAATTGCTCTGACCACCAACGAGCCAATCATAACAACTAAATTGATGCAACCAATTGCTAAAAATGGCTTGCCCCCCAGAGACTTTAAGGTTCTTGCATTATCGGACTTTGATCTCGTTCGTCAGCGCTGCCAAATTGCCGATCTACATCACATTGATCAACTGATTGGATAAAATGGCACACAACTCTGTAATCAGTTGCTTGAGAGTTGTAATCGGCATGAGCATCAAAATCGGTGCACTAACTAGATTTGTATCTATCTGGTGATCAGGACTATTTTGGCACCAATCGTAGCCATGGCACTCAATCTGCTGCTCTGGTTGTTGATCGGCAACATACATAACCCTAGAGCAAGGTCTTCCCACCAAGTGATGATGGGTTATACTATATATGGGGTTGTGTGGATAGAGGTTGTTGAGAAATTTGCCCACTAAGTGGTGATGAGCTATATTGGATGTTGGGGGATGTGTATGTAAGGCTAGAATTTTCAAGCGACTGGCTACATAGAACAAGGGTATAGACCCGACCTTCAGAAGTGTCAAAGGCATAATATTGGGTGTTTAGATACACCATGACATGGGAAAAGGAAAAGACTCTTTTTTGGATTTTTATGACAAAGAGAACTTCGTGGTATGATGACAGACTTCCACGATTTACAAACCAAACTAAAGCTTGTCCCACCGGGCGTGCCAAATTATGTTTGCTTGAAAATTGTGCACCCGAAGCCGTCGGAAAAAGGGGAAAATCAATCACCCAAAACACAATTAAATCAGACGATTGTGGTTGAGTTTGAACCGGCCTCGGACCAGGATTGAGGACTTAGGGTTATTGGCTTTAGTTTGAGAAAGACAAGTAGAAATTAGGGAAAGTGGGGAAAAGCCGAAGAAATGACATTTGACTCATAAAGTGAAAAATTCTAGCACCGACAAGCTGTGGATGGTGCCGATGACACGCTATTACATAGAAGACAGGGATAGGACGGACGTGCAGAGGGTAGTCCGATATACATAAGTTTTAGAACACCTATTACAACATAACTGAATTCGTTGGAGTAGAAAACGGTGAACACCTACCTAATTTTATGTAGGAGAAAAAGGCAAACAACTCTATCGGTAAGCTAAGGGCTAAGCAAGCATGATTGAACGTGATGAACTACCTAGGGAAGGTAAAAACATGATAAACGGTAAAAGAAATAACAAAGGACAAGGAAAACCAGTTGTATGGTTGATCAGTGATGATTTTCTCTTCATGGCTGCCTCTAGTTATTGTGCTTGGATGAAATCCTTGCTGCCCTATGATTCCTAGGAGAAAAAGTAGCTTAACATGGTCAATTTCCTTGAAAATAGGCAATTATTCCCGCAGCAGTCTCCCAATCGGTTGATGACTCTTTTCATCATCAACTCTTAATTTGGTAATAGAATCCTTTTCCAAATATATCTTATTAATTACTAGTAATTTCTCTTATTAAAAGGAGTAAGAAATAAGGAGGAATCTTCCTTAATTGCCAATTAATTATGCAGCCGATTCTAGAACAATTCTATTCCTACTTGGCTTCTACTTTCCTTCTCCAATTCTGAAACAGTTCACACTCAACCAGTCCATATTGACCTTGAACGTATTTTGACAACTTTTGGGCTATTTTGGGGCCTTAAAATATCAGCCATAATCACAAAAATTCACCAAAACTCATGGGTTATTACCAACATCACATGTCGTCGGCCCAAATATCCAAAAACTGGCCGAACAGGTAATAAGGCAAGAACATATATTAATTTATCACAACACAATCACAACATCACCCACACAAATCCCCCACTACTCCGCAAGCTGTTCCCCTTCTTGTAAGATGGTTAAAAGAGCCATCGGAATCGACCTTAAAATATATAGCCGACCAGTGGAGTGTGCTATGACATCATTTTCGTCACCTTTACAACATCACTTGTTGCCGCCATGTGTGTTCTATTAAGATGACTCCCAGTCTCCTTTAATCTCTGCCTATTACCCAACTCCATCCCATTAAAACTCCTAGCATTACATTTCATTTTCAGTGCTCTTTAGAAAGTTTCCCTTCCTCTTGCCGATATACTTGAAAGAAGAATATGTTTTTATCAACATTCTATTTGTGTTGTATGTCGCGTATATAGTGAATGCATTCAGCATTATTCATATTTTATAAACTTTGCATATCACTAAGTAGCTCGACTGAGAATGCGAAGAATCGATCGCAGCTATATATTTAATGTAGAAAATTAGCATTAGTGGTAAGTACTACGAAGCTGCAGCTATCTGGCTGAAGTCTTAACTCTAATGACAGTTACTTAAAATTTTGTCAATGAATCGAATATCTAGGTGATGTTGGGATGGTCTTAATTTTTTTTGTCTTTATGAAGCTTATTATTGATATGAATAATATTATTATTATTTTTATTATTCCAGGTGATGGTCTAATGGTGGCAAAAATGCAACAGTATCAGATTCCAGGAGCCGGATCTTACATTCTACTGCTCGACCATGGACAATATGATGCAAGGAGTAGTTGTTGTTCCTGGACATTATTATTCTTCTGTTCCTCCAGTTCATTTATCTTGTGCTGCGCCGCATGGAGGACAACTTCGTTTTGCCATGACACTATTAGACGATCCTCATACTTCTCAGTTTGGTGATTTTCCATGTGTGCATTCGGTAGAGATGTAGATCTGGGACATCATTTTAATTCCTTTTAGTGGATTCTTGTTGCACCCATGTTGTTGTTGACGAAAACTTTTAGTTGGTTTTCCTATGGATCGTGGCAAACTACCTCCACTTAAACTCGAGGATGAGTTTTTCTCACCCTGGGAGAATGATGGATGGAAACAAATATAGATTAGGGTCTTAATTTCTTTTTCCAAGGATTGTTTTGTCATTTTAGTATAGTTGATTAGGGTTTATTTCTTTTGTTTTCTATTTAAGAGCTTAGTCATCATTGTAAACTTAAGTTATTGATTTTTATAAAAAGTTGAAAGTTCATCTCACAAAATCCCTAGGTGTATTAAAATTAGTCCTTATTTCTGGGTACTCTCAGAATCAACGGATATAGGAGGGCTGTATTTTTGGATATTCACAAAATCAACAGATCTACGACGGTTACTTGATTGGGTTGAAAATTGAGGCTTTCGCCTGCTGCATCACAATTGTAGCTGTCAAATCACCCCGCATGAATATATATTTCACCCATATTCTGCTTGCTACAAATGGCTTTAGGGGTACAACAACAACAACAACAACAACAACAACAACAACAACAAGCCTTTTTTCCGCTAGGTGGGGTCGGCTAGCAAAGTTAGGACAGATGATAATTAGCAAAGTTACATGGATTATAGTTCAAAAGCTATGTTTCCATAATGCAAAAGATGAGTAATTTTCATATTAATGAAGAAAATTGTAGATTCGAGAACATGTATAGCAAATTGCAGGGATAAAAGTGCAAAGAAATGATGGGAAACAAGGGGAGGTCCCCTTGAAAATGAGATACCCAAATACCCTGGAGGCGTCTAGATACTGAAGGTCTTACAGAATTGCTGGAAAAACCATGGGAGTAAGTGACAAAAAGATAAGGGATAAGCAGGGGTTTTGTTTCCTGTCTTTAAAAACTGCCCTTTTACTTTGTAGGTTTTATTTTTTGCATTAGGGTTTTATGTTATTTCTGAATTTTATCATTTTTTTAGGGTTTTGTTTCTTGTCGTCAAAAACTGAATTGTGCCATTCTCGGCTGGTGGTTGTTTTTTTTTCTTTTTTGATGAATAAGAGAGGTTCTCAAAAGCTAATTCTCCTTTCTATATTTTTGGGTAGAGTTAGTTCCAATAATCTGTTGTTCCATATTGTTGTTGATCTTATTAGGGTCATGAGTTTCATTGTTCGCTTGACTGGGTTTAAAGCCGGTAACTTGGAAAATTATCAATTGATAAGCTTCTTGCGGCATCATAAGGTCTTGAGGATTTCGTCAATGCTCTATGGTTTTATGTTGATTGTTGACTTTAACAACTATGCCGAATATTTTATTCTCACTATCTAGGTCTATTTTGATGCGTTTTTTTTTTTGGTCTCGGATCAGACACAGTGCGTTGGTTTCTCAAGAGAGTTGGTTGATAAGATTCATCGCTGTATCATAAGAAGTACAAATTACATGATGAATATCAGCATCATAGAGGTTGAATGATCATACTTACAAGACCAACAATAGTATTTAATTGCAGACTTTAGATGAATAACGACATCGCAAAGGATGAATAATCAAGTTTTGTAGGATAAATAACCATCAAACCTAATATGGTTGGAACAATATTTATTAATACTAATATTACTTTAAAATCAAAATTTAACTGGAAACTATTATCAATATTGTTGTACAAATATTGCATTTGTGAGATGTTTTGGTTTAGATCTCTATAAATAGTTGTCTTTTTCCTCTAATAAAAAGCAAATACCTATTCAGTTCTTAATTAAGGCAAAAAATTAAAAAGTATCGGAATTAGAGTAACCGAATGATTTGGACTCTCACCTTCAATCTATGGGGAAGAAACCCTACAATCCCTTTAAAAATCAATAGGCAATTAGTGATTATTCCAAATCATGATGATCTTTACATTTTTAGGGTTTATTCAACTTGAATCTCACAAATTGGATTGTTTGATAGGTGTTAACATCAAAGGTAATGAGAGACTGAAACAAGAGTTAGGCTCAATTTGCGGAACATGCTGAAAGCTCGTCGACCTTCAAGGGCAACAGACAATCAAGGCGACAAAGACGTGTCAGCCATTCCGTCGCGAATAGGACATTGACAGTTACGTCGACGGAGATTTTTGGGAATTTCGCTTTCAATTAGGTTTTTTATTTTAATCGTTTCCTATTTGGTTCTTTCGACCAAATCCAATTCGAACTAGTATCCTTTGGTCTTTTAATTAATACTAGTGTTTGCCCCACACGTTGTGTGGTTGTTTAAGGTATGTATGAGTTTAATGATTAAAAAATTATATGACATTTCCGACGAAGTGATGTATGCAGAAAAATAATATGAATGATATAATTGCAATTGTATAATTTTTAATGTCATTTTATTTTTTTATTTTAAGTAAATTTGGAATAATTTTATCTAATGTAACTTATTATCCATCTTTTTCGTCTCATGAATTTATGACTTTATATTTTTTAAAAGTAGGTCTCTCGAAATATTTGTACATGCGTCATATTTTTAAACTGTTCCTCTACATAAAACTCTCTTATTATTTTATTTCATAAACTTATCTTTATTTTTCATCTCTCTATATAAGTTTCTTATCTTTATTTTTTTTTCTTGGTTCAATAATTTTCGCCTTTTTTTCCCTAAATTTGATGACCTCTAGTTTCATTTCTTAAAAATTTGTAACAGTTAGTTCATTTTTCACTATTGTCTCGGTTTCTTATTCATATTTTCTTATTCTTTACTTAATTTTTTTCTCATCTAATTATTTTCAATTTTTTAATATATTTGTTTTCTACTGTTTGTCACTCACAAAGATCTTTATTATTTTTCTCATTTTGAAAAATTTTCTCCCTATCATTATAATGTCAAAATTTTCTACCTTTATATCATCTGAAAATTTCTTTAATGAATCATGTAATTATCTTTATTATATAGTTTACTGCAGATTACAAATCTTCATCATGCATGGTTAGAATATTTATTGATAAAAATCGCATGCCATACTTGAATTTGAAGATGCATACGCAAAGAAAAAGGAAAAAAAAATTTAGCTCGGGCATGACATGTTCCCCCACAACGTGAATGGAATTGAATTTATTAACGATTAGTGACTCATCATCATTATGTTCATGATATAAAAATAAGACTGGATTTTATTGCGGTGGTAATCATTTCTGCGGTTAATGACAAAAAAATTTAACCATATAAAAATTAGTTATTTATAGGTTTTTAGGATTGATAAATAAAAATAACTGATTTTTGTTTCTTTAAAGCAATAACCGGTTTTGGTAAGTATAATAACTCTATTTTATTGTACCAACTTAATCACCGGATGAAATTAATAATGTTTAGGGGAGATTAGAATAATTCAAAAAATAACAACTATTGTGTTTCTTCAATTTCATGTTTAGCCATCTTGATTCTTAAATTCAGAATAAAAAATTTTGTGTTTTTCTTCTTGCTTATTAATTTCTAGAGGAAGCGGCCAAGTATAGTTTTTTTTTTTTTATTTATTTTAGAATTTTAATTTGCATTTCAATAGGTCTTTTAATGTTAATTAAGGCTAGAATAAGAAAACAAAAAATTATTTTGTAGTGACCTCAAGAGTGGATTTGATAATTAATACTTGAAGGTATGTGTAGACTCACATCTTCGTTGTTTTTTTATTGGCATCTTTTAAATATTTTTGTTCTATTATACACCAAAAAAACCGGAAAATAAATTTGGGCTAAAAAATAAAATTGAATTAATAAAAAGGCTTGATATTAAAATTTTTTTATCTATGAAGGTGTTATTTTTAATTTTTTAAAATCAGGTAAAATTGGTTATTTATAGATTTTACGGGTTTCCAAATAAAAAGTTACCATTAAATGATGGAGTAACGTGGTTGTGACATGTGGACTTGGTTATCTAATTTTTCGCCATGTGGATGTCCCTATCTAACTTTACGGCATGTGTTCGATTGAAAACTCTCCTTTAATATATAACTAGATACTAGATAAGTATGAAATAATTGTGAAATGTGAAATTATTTAATTAAGAATTATTTTCCTTTTAGGAAACTTATAAAACCCTAAAACCTAGTTCAACTCGTAATAGGTTGTGGTAACCATTTTGGCCGACATAAAGCTCTATAAGAGGGGTGCGTTTTGAGGCTTCTTTGAGGAAAACTCATTTTTTTTGGTCTTTTGTTATCACCTTGCAGTAGTGCAAAGCAAGAATCTCAACATAGAGAGATGGAGATTGAGTTGCCGCAAGAAATTAAGCAACATATATTGTCGTTGATGGAGTTTACAGATGTGATTTGTGTCTCTGCCGTATCAAAGATTTGGAGAGATGCAGCCGCCACTTTACAGACCTTGAACCTTACTGATCGTCGTTTTCAGAAATTGCTCGGCCTTCGTAATGATTATGTCGACTACAACCCTACGAAAGAAAAGTTTAGCTCCTTGCTGTGTTCTGGAGAACGCAATATTGAGAATGTCCAAAATCAAAATTTGGACATAACAAATTGGTGCTTTGAGCTTGGTGCTAAACTTAATCTTTCGATGGGAAAAGAGATCACTCGCTTACTTTCCCTTATGCTAAAGGGAAAGGTAAACATCATAGAATTTGTGTTGGACATAGGAATTGCATTTGGATACGTTTAAAGTAATCATCAAAATATTGTTCAACCTTTCGAACAGTTATGCTGATTCCTTAAGATCTATGTATGCTGCCCCTTCTCTACATAAGCTTCATTTAAAAGGGTTGAGGCTTCCATCGGCAGTTGGGTCCAAAATACATCTCCCTTCATTGAGGGATGTGTAATTTTGTTAGAGTTTAGGGTTTAGGGTTTATGCTGTGTTACTTCACCAATTAATGTTGATGCTAAGTTACATCACCAATTAATCGACAACTCTCCTCAGCTGGAGACCTTAAACATCAGCCATTGTTACGGTTTCCGTGCTTTGAAACTAATTGGGTCACATCAAAAGTTGAAACGGGCTGTTCTTGATTATAACGGGTCCAAACTACTTGATGTTAGAGTTGAAAAAGTTCATATTAAAGATGCTCCAAATCTCGAGTACTTTCGTTTCTGTACCATGCCTGAAAAACTATGTGTCCTGGATATGGCAGCTTGCAAGAATTTGAGGGTTTGCGATTTGCAAAGTTCTGATGGAGATGAAAAGTTGTTCGAGTCAATCCAAGTCCTACTTATTGCGGATCATCTGAACGCTCTGGAAGTATTTAAGTTCACCAGGAAGAAAGAAGATGAAGAGGGATTGAATAGTTTAACAATCTCGAGTAAATCTCTCAAGAAATTGTCGCTAGGTTTCCGCCATCGGGTTGATATTCAAGTGCGGGATGCTCCCCAACTTTCTAAATTTTGTTATTCTGGGTTTACCATCATCGCAGTTGTCGTTTGGAACTTCGACACCTAAGGATGCTTTCTTTGTCAATTATGGCTAAGGTGAAGTAAGTTACAATAAGCTTGTGAAGTTGCTTAAGAGTTTCAATCATTCTGAAACAGTGAAGTTATACGACTTTTCGCCTCTCAACCTCAGAATTCCAGAACAAAAACGTTTATTTCACAATATGAAGGATCTCCCCCTAAGGGACGTGTTGGGAAATAGAATCCCAAATCGATGTCATGAAGGATCTGTAACATGTTTATAAGCTCCAAAAGCCAACCAACTCACAGGAAATTGGTTTTGAGTGTGGAGCCCAAGGTGATTTTGACATGGTATCAGAGCCCACGATCTGTGGACCTGTGATAACTATGGACCCGTAAGTCTAGGGATGATCAAAATGATCCCCATATGTGCCAGAGCCCGGAAGAGTTGTGGACCCGTGTGCCTTGGACTTGCGTGAATGGCTTTCGTGCGCACGGGTGGGCTTGTGGTGAAGAATTATGGACCCGTGTGTCTTGGACTTATGTGAGTTGCATTCATGCACACAGGTGAGCTTGTGGTGAATTATGTTGTGTTGTGCAACCCCAATGGGCCAAATACCTCATTGGGCTTGAGGAGGGGTGTTGAGAAATAGAATCCCACATCAGTGTCGTGAAGGATCTATAACCTGTTTATAAGCTCCAAAGGCCAACCCACTCACCACCAATTGGTTTTGAGTGTGGAGCCCAAGGTGATTTTTACATGGTATCAGAGCCCACGATCCGTGAGCCTGTGATAACTATGGACCCGTGTGTGCGGGCTTGTATACTGAACCGGCAATATATCCGGAGTGTGGACCCGTGTGTGCAGGCTTGTGCACTGATCCAACAGTATATCTAGTGAATTATGTTATATTGTGCAACCCCAATGGGCTAAGTACTCCATTGGTCTTGAGGGAGGGTGTTGGGACAAAGAGTCCCACATCGATGTCGTGAAGGATCTGTCACCTGTTTATAAGCTCTAAAGGCCACCCCACTCATTGCCAATTGGTTTTGAGATGTGAGCCCAAGGTGTCTTTGACAGGACACAAAAACTTTGGGAGCTATTTCGTTTATAGTTCCGGGTATTCATTCATACTGCTTGATGTGGATATGTTGAAGAGTTGCTATGGATGGCTCCTCGACTACGCACTTTATCCATAGTGGATGACTCTGATACAACTATAACCTTTCAGTTTAAATATGAGGGTTCAAGGAATGAGGAAGATGAGGTGGTTTCTTCGATATCTGAAACGACAATTCATTTGGTTAAAGTAAAAGTTGAAAACCGTCCAGGGAATAAGGGAAAAAGGAATATTGGAGTTGAGGAAGTACTTTTTTGGTGACGCAAACTTCTTATTGGATGGCGAAGTAAAAGAGCTGGAAGTTTGTGTGAAGTCGAAAGATCAAAGCTAGTTCATGAGTAGTTAATTTTCCAAATTTGTAGAATTTGTCTTTGGGAATTTAACTATCCCCATGATATAAAAAGTAATTTTCTGAATATTGTTTTCTTTTGGATCTACATATCACTCCTGTTTATTGTTTGAGTTGAATACCTCCATATCTAGCTTTTCTACCATTCTTTTCCTTATCTTTTCAGGTATATTCTTCAATATCAAACCAATAAGCTGAAGTTTGTGTTTATGCTTTGGTATACTAATTTCTAACCAGAAACAAGGAACAATATGTTTGTCATCTCTTTCTTATACTGATCACTTGTGAGTACATAATTAGACCTAGCTAATACGTAATGAAGAGTCAAAGATCAACAGAGAAGACTTCACTCATCGGGGCTTTTTTTTTAATCCTGAATAATGGCAAGGCTTGGTTCTACACCGCCGGCTTGGTAGTGGAACTCCGGCTAGGGTTTAAAGAACGTATGTGAGTAGTAGCTTTTGCTAGAGATAGCGTACCCGTGTTGTGGTGTGACCAACCCTATTTATAGGCATGAAGTTACATTGAAGGATGCCGAATCCTACTAGGTTTCATGTTCTAGAACCGCCTTTATCAAGTCGGTTGGACCATAGTCGGTTGATGGGCCGGTCCAGTAATCCTCAGTGGATATGGACTCATCAAGTGCCCCTGTCAAGTATTAGTTATATGAAATAAATAAGACTTAACACAAAATAAAACTGACCTGGACCCGGCCAAAGTGAAGTGGACAAGACACGGCCCATATTGCATCAAGCAGGTCTGACAAAGTAGCTTGCGAGTCAGGATCCGATCCAAGAAGGCAACCCGCCTTAAGATCCCGCCCAAATTGTTAAACTGCACAGCATTAGTTGGCACGTTCCCCAAACAACGGCACCTTCATCATTACTGCTTCTTTGGAACTCGCCCAAACCGTCAAATCGTGGGCAGCAACAGCAGTACATAAAACCTTTTGGACTCATTATTCTTCCCATTTCATTTTGTGAAAAGAACAACTCTCCTCTACTCTCAAAACCTATTATGTGAAAATCTAAGTTCCCCACATTCGCCGTTGTAACCCAGTTATCGCAGTCGGTAATATCTGTCTCTGTTGTTTCAAGAAGAAGCCGTGGTCAGAGAAGGCTTCTCAACTCTGTTATCAAGAACCCACCCAGTTGCTCCACCAGCCAATGCCTAGGAATTGCCGCCGACGTAACTGTTGTAACTCTGGGAAGCAACAACTCAAAAGGGGAGTGGAAGCCTTTGCCGAAAGTGCCAAAAGTAAGTTCCCAGATCTATGACTCTCGATTCCATTTACTTCCTTTTTTTTTCCTGTGGTTGAATATAGATTGGTATAAATCTAGGTTGAACCATGATTAGGAACCCAGATCTTAAAACCGTAGATGATTTTGCCTCCACCATAAATTCCAACGAGAAGGTTGTATCGGTGAGAACGAAATATGACCTGCCCCGGGATTTAGAAATGAGAGCTCCCCTAGGAACTGAGAGAGCCAATACTCCTCCGGAAGGAAAAATCACCATTTACAATCAATTCATGTTTCTAGGGTTGAGATTCTCCCTTTTTCCTTTGTTCGAGGAGATTGTGCAATATTACAAAATTCCACTTGCTCGATTCACCCCAAACCTCATAACATACGTTCTTGGTTTCGTAAAGAAATGCCAACGAACCAGGGTGAAACTCTGTCTTATGCTGTGGAGGTACTTTTTTAGAGTGTCGACACCGTCTACAGCCTTTCACGATTGGTATATGGTGAAAAGGAACACTACTAGAAAAAGGTCTTTTAGAGGCACTCAAAAATTCCATAATACATGGGCTTTTAACACACTTCTATCTATTAAGGCATTTTAAAAAAATGCCTTTATTTTCAATGTGATAATAGGTTTAGTGTAGTTATATATAATTTTTAATGGCATTTACCAAATGTGATAATATATAACTTGTAACGACACTTTAAAGGCCTTGTGGAATGATCATAGAGGCATTTTAAGTGCCTCAATAAACTACCTAAAACGTCATTTATCATTTATTCTAAATCCTTGATAATAATTATTTGAAATTAATATAAAATCACTCAAATGATTTGATCATAAATAATTTATGAGAAATTAAATAAAATGATATATTTCAAGAGAATAATTACTTATTATTATATTTATAAAAATTAAAGAAGCACCGTACAACCCAAACTAGACGTAGCACTAACCCCAAAACAATGCAAAAATCCATACAATAGTACACCTGATTAACTTATATATCAACAAGTCACTCTTTTACAAACTATACAAGAACTCATGATCTCTAACTTTCAAGCTAAAACTTGATTACAATTTTCTCTTCCCTTCCATTCACCAAGTCTCTTGATCAATTTCCCACGGCTAAAAGTCTTCTCCTTTTTCATTCTTCCTTCTCAAATAAAAGAAGAAAGCCCATTCTGCCAAAAAAAAAAAATTGCATTCACGTTTCTTTCTTTTCGGGAGGAAGGTTGCAAAATATGTGCAAAACAAGATCAATAACCAAATCAAATTGATGAACTATAAGCTTTCCCCTTAGCTACAAATAGCATAAAATATGGTGATGGGTCTTGAGTCTTGAGCATCTATTTTATAAAATATTAGAAATATACTCATTGAATTATTTCAGTACTTTACCTAAAAACAATTGAAGTTGAGTCCGCATTGTTAGTGATAAATTCAACTCAAGTAATTAAATGATCATAATGGGAACAAGTTCTGAATACTAATACTCTCCATTAAGTAAGATAACAAGCCGAATAAAATCTATAAATATAAATCTATAATCTAGTTGCCTATCTTCATGGATTCCACATATACAACATGTCAATCAAATACAAATATCAAATTCATATTGACACTTATGATTCAAACCTGAAATGAAATTCCTAGTTTATTGAAAACCGACAAACATAAAAACAATTAGGGAGAAGGAAGAACGACATGACCAGATAACAAATGATAAGTGATGGCAAAAAGAACTAGATCTAGAACCAGCAGAAATATGTACACCGACAAAATTGGCAAACTGTAAACTCCGTCATTAGTCAGACATATAATTCACAGGTGAAGCTAGCTGACTTCCCCTTTAGCCTTCATTGACTGCCGCTATTTGTTATTAGCGCTGGCATCTCCAACGCCTTATTCTCGTCGGTTGCGATTGAATTTTAGCCTTCGACTATAACACAAGGGCGTCAGGGATTTGCTTACCTTATTTGGATTCGTCGGCAACGGGTTGATCTAGGGTTTTTGGCATATTAATTGGGATTAAGAATTTAAGAGATAATGGCTCTCCAAACTTGTTTAGAAGTTAAAAGTGTTTGTTTATTTTATTTTATTTTATTAATTATTTTTTTGCTTTTTTCTTGTTGGTTTTGAGATAAAGTGAAACAGTTAGAGTTGGAAGTTGTCTAATTGAGTTAGTTTCGGAATTTTTGACACTCTAAGTGTCTTCAAGAAGTTAGAAGAAGTGTGGTAATATGTTAATGCATTATTAGGTACTTTATTACTTCACATCTATTCTAATGCCTCTAAATGGATCAAGACTAGTGTCGTATTAAGCCAGCTTTGTAGTAGTGAAACCTTGCGTCAGGCTCTCGAAAGATAGTAGAAGCTTATAGTGGGTCTCCCATATCGAAACCCAATTTTTTGTATGTAAAGGCACCTGAAAAATACTGTGTGGCTTGGAATTATCGAGAAACCGAAGGTTTCGAGGCGGTAAAAGACGAGTGGACGAAGGAGGATGAGGAGAAGATCAAAGAATTTGACAGTGACTTAGAGAAACTCGAGAGATATCCCAAGATACTTGAGTATGGAGCTGTGTAGCATTTCGTTCCTGTCATGCCAGTCGAGGAATTAGAAGCTGACAAAACCCTCAATGTCCCCCTCGAAGAAAATAAAGGTACTAAGCTCGTTATTATTTCTGTGTGTTTAGGTCATGTCGTCGGGAAACACCGGTTCCGGATTATATGGTGACTCCAACCCTTTAATGTTGTAAACTCAAATGATAATACTTCCACAACAAAATCAGTGGCAGAGAAGATAAAGAAGAAGAAGAAGAAGAAGAAGAAGAAGAAGAGGGCTGTGGCAAGGGAGTCCGAGAAGGGAACAACCACAAAGAAGTTGATAACCAACACATCTCGCGAAGCAAATTGAAGCAGCAAAGCAGTGCGAGGAGACCATTCCTCCTTTGACCGAGAAGGACGTGCCCTCAGAGAAGGAGACTGGGCCAAGCCTCAACCTCTTCCTATCGAGGAGGGAAAAGACCATTTCGAGGGGAATGTAACCATCCTACCCCCTGAGATACCTACAGGGGGCCCTTCTGTCGCAGTTCATACCTTTGACAATCCTCCAACCATTGAGTGCCCTGTGCTGGAAGAGTTTGCTGCCAACCTTACCGAGGCAGATGGATTAAAATTGGTAAACATCTCAATCCATATGCATTCGCTTATCTCCATATTTTAGCGTGAGTGTATATCTGTTCTGTGTTTGGTTTCCACAGGTGAGCACAGTTATGATGAACCATGCCCAAAGGTCCAGGGACCTAAGGCGAGAACCAGTGGAAGCTCGAGCCAAGAGAGACCAAGCGTTGATCGAGAAGCAGGCTCTTGAGGAGAGGAATCAGCAGCTGCAAGCCAAGGAAGTAGAGCTTGCCTCGGTCCAAACCCAGCTTGGAGAAATTGAAGCAGAAATTTCAAGAGTACTGCGACCTGCACATCTCCAAGGAGGACCTCAATAAATGGTGCAATGCGTTTTGCTGGAGGATGCTATCATCAGGGGGGATGACCGTTGCTGTGGAGGAGATTAATACTGTCTCGATGGCTTATGAGGACCATGCGGTTGCCATCGAGGGTTTAAAAAGACTGAAGTCAAAAAAGCCTGTTAAGGCTAAGTGGCTTAAGCAATTTCTGAAGGAAAACCCAAAGAAGACCATGTATGAAGCCCTTGTGTGAAGCTCAGTCCAAGATGAGTTCACCCGAGAACATTGTCTCATTTCCCGGGGATGTGGCTTCTGTTTTCACAAGAGGTCCTGGTGAGGAATTGGCAATACTTGAAGTCTCCGACGAGTATTTTGGAATTGACCTAGAGGAAGATGAAGATGAGACTGCTGAGGAGAATGACACAGGCAATTCGGGTGCCAAGGACCAAGATCCCCCAGTCGTGTGAGATACTAGAGGAGCCGAGGAAAGGAATTCCCTTGTCGAGGGAACATCTGAAAAAACAACCGGGGAATGACTCTCATTCTCGGACTGCTGTATGAATTTAGTTTCCTAGTAATAGAGTCCTTCCTTATTTTGAGAAGTAATTGTATCACCGCCCATGGCGGTGAATGTGATCATTTCAAGCATCTGTTGGTGCTTATATAATATCCAATCCTTTTCAATTTATCCCATGTCTTATGCTAGGAATCGTACTTTGTACATCACGTACATCTGATGATCTTGAACAAAAAGCAAGCTAAAAATTTCCCCATGAGATGATAAAGTTGGGCAATTTCCACAGTATTTCTGCTGTAAGAACCCTCGAGAAAGACATTATGGACACAATGCAAGCATACAATGCGCAGATACATTCTCGGCTGGTACAGCGGTTCAAGCAAAAAGAAGAAGAATATCAAGGCCGCCTTCAGCAATATGACCTTGACTATCAGGATTTCCTGGTCCTGGAGGAGAATGTAAATGAAGAAATGGCGAATTTAAGGAAAGAGAATGCCCAACTGAAGTGCCGTGAAGGAATCGTGGTATCCCCATGGTTTCTCGAGAAGTTCCACTTCCTTTCACTTGTTGAGAAACAAATCCAAATCAGGACGGAATGCTTCATTGATGCCATCGAGATGCTGAAGAAAAGGACTAAAGAGGCTGAACTTTATTCAAGACAATCTGCCATCCTACAGAACATACTGATCGATCATGAGATCCCACTTCCTATTTTTGAGGACCTAGATGAGAACGAGGAAGCTCGAGAGAGGACGGCTATTAAAGAATTCCTTCTTAGGCTCAACGAGCAAGATTGGTAAATCGTCGACTTGAAAGACAAGTTGAACCAGTGCATCAACCAGCTTAGAGTGCTAGGATTCTCGAGCGTGATTAAGCCGTCTTGATTTACCCTCAAGGAGGAAGATCTTAGTTTTTAAGGATAAACATATGTATTTATCCCACCCCGCACATGGTGTGAGGGCAATATATTTGATTCGAGACTTATCAGCGTCGTTGTTCAATTTGTACTCAAGTAGTATTTATATAGCGCTTTCGTGGCGCGATGTAAAGTACACGACACTCTCGAAGGAACTGGGTATGAGTTCCTCGACTTATTACCGCGATCTACGGTGGGTATGAGGAGACTTCCTCAGTTTTTGTCCGAATGTTGAATACACGTCTCTGAACGAGGATGGCCCTAGGATATGCAATGAATTTTATTGAATATTTACCCAAGGACCTGGGTTAGCATTACATATGAAAAAGCGAAAGCAGTAAAGCAAATAAAGCAAATAAGGCAAGTAACCTAAACTAGCATGTAGCAAATAGGGGCTTAAACATAGAACCTGCAGAGCTTTTGAATGTTTCACCATCGAGGGAGGATGATTCCACTATCATCCATGGTTTGTAGACGATAGCTGCCTGCTAGAGATGTTTGAATGACTTTGTAAGGTCCTTCCCAATTTGCAGTGAGTTTCCCAGGAGTCTTGGCTCTACTGGCTTCATTTTTTCTAAGTACGAGATCCCCCACCGCGAGGTCTGTTGCCCTGGCTCGCTTATCAGTGTTTTTTGAGGATCTCTTTGTACTTTGCTTCTGTTATTCTGACGGCGTCTCGTCATTCCTCGAGCAGGGTGAGGTTTAGCCTGACATCATCGTCATTAGTACTCTCGACAACGTTGATTGTGCGAGGACTTGCGAGGCCTATTTCGACTGGAAGAATCGTATCCATGCCATAGACCAAGTTGTAATGGGTTTCATCTGTTGAGGAGTGGGCTGTGGTGCGATATGACCACTAGACATGGGAGAGTTCCTCAGTCCAAGCTCCTTTAGCATCGGGTACACTGGTCTTGATTCCATGTAGGATAGTTCTATTAATAGACTCTGCTTGGTCAACAGCTTGAAGGCGAGCTAGACTCGAAAACGGGGCTCAATTTGCATTTCCTTGCACCAAGACTTAAAAAGGGTTGCTTTTAAATTGACTTTTGTTGTCGGAGACAATAACCCTAGGAACTCCAAAGCGGTAGACGACATTTTGCCAGAAGAAATTCAGCACTTGTCTTCCAGATATTGAGGCCAACAGTTTAGCTTCTACCCACTTGGTGAAGTATTCCACCGCTACTATTACCCATCGTACTCCTCCTGCCCCTTTTGGATGAAAAGAGCCGATGATATTGGTGCCCCATTGGTAAAATCACCAAGGACTTTGAATGGTGACCATCTCGTGCTATGGTTGTTGAGTAATAGGGCTAAAGCGTTGACATCTATCACACTTTTGCACAAATTGATATGCATCATTGAAAATCATGGGCCAAAAGTACCCGGAACGCAGTACATTCTTAGCGAGTGCCCTGACTCCTATGTGTGCTCCGCATGATCCCTTGTGAATCTCCTCGAGGATGTATGCTGCTTGTCTTGGTCCGACACATCGCAGCATGGGTAGCAGGTATCCATGCTTGTACAACACCCATCTCTCAGCGTGGACTTGGGCGCTTTCAGCTGGAGTGCTCGAGCGTCGGACTTATTATTGGGTAACGTCCTATCTGCTAGATACTGAATGAATGGGGTCATCCAAGTGTCACCGTCCTCGGTGATGGTCATTGTTGGCACTTTCCGAATGCTGGACTCGGGGAGGATCTCGACCCCGACCTTGTGACTGAGGTGCGCAAAGTTCGAGGAGGCAACTTGCTCAACGCATTTGTCCTTGTGTTTTTTGTCCTTATGATGTGGGAGATATTGCATTCTTCAAACTTATCTTTTAACTCGAGAACTTTATCTAGATATTGCTTGAGTTGCCCATCATTTGCTGTATAATCACCTGCAATTTGATTTACCACTACCTGAGAGTCGCTAGAGACTTGGATTTTTTGGACCTCAAGTTTTAGAGCCATGTTTAGCCCTGCTATCAATCCTTCGTACTCGGCCACATTGTTAGTAACCGGAAAGCCGAATCTTAATACATAGGTGTACTCCGCATCATATTCTATCATGTTCTCAATTTCGGGATCAGCCGATGGCTTTGCCAATATGATGTTGGCTCCTCCCCCCTTGTCGCAATGAGAGCCATTGATGTATAGCGTCCAGGCTCGAGGATTTATCTCGACGCGGGCAGCGGAGTGATTCTTAGGCTTTTTGACTTTAGGAACATTATCAAAACGTTGCATCTCTAGTAGGAAGTTTGCAAACCCTTGGCCTTTGACCGCTGTTTGTGGCTTATATTATATATGGTGCTCTCCCGACTCTACTGCCCAATTCATCATCCGACCAGATGCTTCAGGCTTGAGAAGGATTTGCTGAATAGGCTACTCTGTCAATACTAGTATTGGATGTGCTTGGAAGTACGGGCGTAGGCGTCGAGCAGCCAGAACCAAACTTAAAATAAGTTTTTCCATGGGCGTGTATCGTGACTCTGCTCCTTGTAACACTTTGCTGACGAAGTAAACAGGAATCTCCTTGGCATCCTTGTTTTGTACTCGGACGGCTGATATGGACTTCTCTTGAGCAGTGAGGTAATACATACAAGGTCTCCCCCGGTTCAGGCTTGGCCAATATAGGTAGCTGTTTAAGATGATCCTTTAGCTTTTGGAAAGCTTTTTGGCATTCCTCATTCCACTCAAACTTTCTGCCTTTGCGGAGTGTATGAAAGAATGGGAGGCTTCTTTATGCGGCTCGAGAGAGGAATCTGTTTAAGGCCGCCAGGGATCATGTAAGTTTCTGAACTTCTTTGACGTTCTTCGGGGCTTCCATGGCTAGGATCGCCTCGATATTTGCCGGATCAACACTGATTCCATCCTTGGAGACATGGTACCCTAGGAACTTACCCGACCCTACGCATAAGTACACATTTTTTCGGGAGAATTAAGAAGATCTTGTGCATATCCTTGACTACTTGCTCATCTCTGTTGCTATTGATCACCATGTCGTCCACATATATCTCAATGTTTCGGCCAATCTGGTCATGGAACGCGCGATTTTTGAGGCGTTGATAGGTTGCACCAGCGTTCTTCAAGCCAAAAGGCATCTTGTCATAACAATACACTCTGATCTCGGTGATATAGGCTGTCTTCGCTGCATGTTCTCGTGCCATAAGGATTTGATGGTATCCTTTATAGGCATCAAGGAAACTGAAGGTCCTACACCCAGTGATACCCTCGACCATCTAATCTATGACAGGTAAGGGATAGCAGTCCTTAGGGCAGTGTTTGTTGAGATCGGTTTAGTCTTGGCACATACGCCAAGAATTATCAGGTTTCCATACTAGGACCGGATTAGCCAACTAAGTAGGCCAAAGAACTCTCCGGAGGATATTAGCATGGACCAGCTTCAACGTTTCTTCATTGATGACGTCGTTGCGGTCTCGAGCAAACATTCTCTTCTTCTGTTGTACGGGTTTAACATTGGGATTGACATTCAACTTGTGTTCAATAACATCTCGTCGCACTCCTGTCATATCGGTAGGTGACCAGGCAAATATATCATGGAACTCGTGTAGCGAGGCGATTACCTCGGCTAGCAACGCTTCTTGAGGTGATATATCTATCTGGATGCTCTTGGAGGGATTCTTCTCATTAAGAACAAGCTCCTGTGTCTTGCTACTAAGTGGTGGTAGGCAGTTAGTGTCGCGATCCTCTGACCATGATTGTGCTGCTACTTGTTGGATCGAGTAGCATCCTGACATGGCAGTGTTTGGGTTAGACTTAACGACTTTCTTTCCAATCTTGACAGCTGTGAGTAAGCATTCCTGAGAGCTACACTAGCATCCTTGCACTACTCCAACCTCGTATTTTATGGGAAATTTCATCACTAGGTCATCCTAGGATCACGTTGAACGGCGAGGGTGCATCTATTAATGCAAAATCTATGGTTAATGTAACCATTCTGGGATGCGACCCTACCATGATGGGGAGGCTTATGATTCCGGTTGGAATAATAGTGTGGCCCGAGAAGCCCATCAATGGCATCGTTGCTGGGCGGATATTAGGGTTTTGATTGTTCATCTTTTTGAAGCAATAGCTGTATATGATGTCGACTACACTACAGTTGTCCACATAAACTCGACTGATTTGCACATTTTTGATTATCGCCTCGATAACCATCGCGTCACTGTGTGGAAAGCTATCCGGGACAACGTCGCTGTCAGTGAAGACTATGGCCCTTGTCCCTTTAAACCTCTTGTGACTAGGTTCTTCACGGGGAGTTTTTGTGACAATCTGCACTGAATTCTTCATGGCTGGTGGATAAAACTTCGAGAGGAGCTCCATAAATGACACCCACCTGGTGAGTGATCTGCTTGGTAGGATCCACTGGGGGGATATGCTGAAGCGGTTGTGGGGCTCCCTCAATAGCTTTTTAAAGAGGTTGTTGCGTATTGTTCCTCGGTGGCCAATTATTCCCCCGGCTTTCTCCCCGAGGACCTCTGAAATTTCGTTTAGGGAAATTTCATGATGTACCCGGCTTGCTGTTCCTTTGTCGAGAGGGTCCTTGCACATACTGCTGGAATTTGCCAGACTTAACTCCATTCTCAATTTCCCACTTGAGTTCTCGACAATCCTCAGTATCATGGCCGTGGTCATTGTGGTATTCACAATACTATTCCGTTGACCTATTTGGATTGGGCGTCAAGGGTTTTGGGGTAGGTAACTCATCCTTGTGAATCTGGAGGATTTCTCGACGTAGCTTAGTCAAAGGTGTCAACTGCCTATCGAGTTTAGCCAATGTTGTCCTACTATTTGTGTTAACCCTTGGTTTGTCTCTCGGCCCTACTGGTGTGAAAGGTTCTTGTGATCTCTTGAGTGTGTGTTCTCGTTCAATATGATTCTCGACAATAGCCCACATCTCTTGGGAATTCCTGGGAGGTTTAGTCGAGAGTTTTACTCTTAGCATTGCGGATTTTCCAAATGGATTGAGCCCTTGGATAAACCCATTCCGGACATCCCGTTCATCTATGTTTTCAACTTGTAAGGTTTCGTGGATGAAATGTCGATGGAAGTCTGAGAGACTCTTATGTTGACCTTGCTTGATCAAGGAAACATCAATGGACTTTCTAGAGATTTGCTTTCTCTGAAAGAACCAAGTGGCTAACTTGACTGATAAGTACTCGAAACTGATTATACTTCCTTCTGATAATTGTCCAAACCACCGTTGTGCTTGCCCTGTTAGGTAGGACGGTAGAGCTTTAGCCATAAAATTTAACAATGCGTTCCTGATTCTCATGACCTGGACATACCCCTGCAACCACTGGGAGACGTTCGTATCTCCTGAGTATTTGGTGAAGTCCTTGGGGAAGTCGAAGTCATGGGGCTTCAGCTCATCTCGAATGTCTGGTATAAAGGGACTCCAGTCTACCACCATTCTAATGATCTTCCTCATCTCGTCTCGGATGAAAACGTTCTGGCCTCTTACTCTCTACTGACCTTGAGGAAGATAAGGTGGAATCTCTTCATGGTTGTTATGTTGTTGCCGCCTGGGAGGTGAATACTGAAGATGACGGTGATGCCCCCACCCATAATCCTCTCCAGTATCGCCGTCGTTTCGGTATTGTCTATGGAAAGGTACGTATTCCTCCCTTCGAGGACTTTTTCGATACCAGTTGGGTCCCAATCGGTTGTGAACATTGGTCCTTCTCGGAGGGTTCCATTCTCCCTCTTCCATAACCTCGACGCTAGGGGATTCTCGTTGGTAGTGGTCTCGAGGATCATTGCGTCTGTACACCGCATCAAACTCTTCAATGGCCATATCAAAGGCTGGATATTTCTTCCTGAAAGCGTTCAAGTAAAACGGCGTCTCGAGTGGCGATTGAATGGTTATCCAAGAAGCCTTCGCGATCTGAATACTCTTGATAGTCCCCCTCCTCTTGGACCTTTCGCTTGCCTTGTTTCTTGTCGAGAAGAGCTAAAGTGCATCGGGCTTCCTTCTCATCAATCAAGTCAGCTAACTCTTGCTCAGTTGGGTCAGGCTTTCCCAGGAGACATCGACCCCTTGTTTCCTCGAGAACATATCTTTTCATTCTTTGATTTTGATCACTGTCATCCCGCAGCTTTTTGAGTTCGACCTCGATTTTGGCCAACTTTTGATTCTCCAAGCATTTCCTGGATGCTATGGTATTTCGAGGAGGCAAATCCTCTTTCTTGGTCGCGGGATTTGCTTTGTCTAATCTCTCTGGATTAGGCTGTGAAGTTCCGAGGATTGGACGTTCTTTCTCTGATTCTTTCTCGGATCCTCTTTCATGGGCCTTTCCCGTCTTTTTTCTTTCCTGTCGTCGTTGGAATTCTGCCAAGGTAGTGTTATCGACTGGACTGTGCCGTCTGCCGGAAGATGCTGTGCTGCTCGCGTCTTCTTCAACCCAAGCCATGGTGTGCCTGGTTCCAGAAACCCTAAGTTGCACAGTAGAAGGTTAGGAAAACTGAAAAGGTTTTCGTGAGACAAACCCTAGTTTTCAGGTCCCACCGGGTGTGCCACTCGGCGAAGCTTGGTTTTACACCGCCGGCTTAGTAGTGGAACTCTGGCTGAGGTTTCCTGCAAAAGAAGGCCTCGGGGGTCTCTCGAATGTAGACACTCTGATGCTTTAGTCAGAAAAGCGTTTAATGAACGTATGTGAGTAGTAATTATTGCTAGAGATAGCGTATCCGTATTGTGGTGTGACCAATCCTATTTATAGGCATGAAGTTACCTTGAAGGATGCCGAATTCTACTAGGTTTTATGTTCTAGAACCGTCTTTATCAGGTTAGTTGGACTATAACTGGTTGATGGGCCGGTCCAGTAATTTTCGGTGGATATGGACTCGTCAAAGAAACTGAGCCTATTTCAACAGAGAATTAATCCTGAAGAAACTGAGCCTATTTCATTCAGAAAATTATCAGAAATAGTAAGTACTAAGAAGCTGGCTGAAGTCCCAACTCCAATGCCATTGAAATCTCTTCTAACATGTGGTTTCTGGAAACTGCTGTAGCATTGTAGTTGAAAGGACAAGTAACTAATTCTTCAAATTTATCGTATGATGATCGATCAATCAATAATACCAAATGCCTCCTGTTGGGAAGGAAGAGACCGTAGTCTCGTTCGTAAACTTTTTTAGTTTTCAGAAAATTTTTCTGGGAATGAGAAGAAATATTTAATAACCACGTCTACATATCTCCTCTCAATATATAATTTCGTGTATACAGAGGCAATGCACATTGCTCATGCGCCCCTTCGTATGTACTATATGAAACTCATTGGCTAATATTTTCAAGACACGCACACAATAATCACAGTAATTACAAAACTTTTTGTTGTTTACGTTACTCGTAAAGTATTGCGAGTATTGAAATTAAATAGTAACAGCAGCAGCAGCAGCACTAGCTCCAGAATGCGATAACATATCCATGTTTAGTCACTTAAGAAACATGAAAAGTAAAAAAAAAAAAAATGTCAATGCCAATTGAGATCTGCACCAAAGGAAAACGGCAAAATATGCATGTTTTAAAGTATAATCCGAACAAAAAAGAAAAACAAAATTAAAAATGGGGACTAATGGTAGACAATACTATTTCATTTGGGCTTATGAATTAGGCCCTAGGAGTAATAAGCTACGGGAAAAAAGATCTCAACACCTTTTTATAGGTTTTCTGTTTCCCCACATTAATTCACATTATTGTTAAGGTGAATGATAAACTGGCGACGGTTGTTTGAATATTTGGCACAACTTTTATTTCGTCGGGGATGTAGTTTTTAAAAGCATTTGCAAATAATGGTCATTGCTGAAAGAATTTGGAGTTTGGACAAGAATTGACATTCAATCATCAAAATTATGATAACGATTACTTAGATAAAATGAGAAAATCGTCCATAGCGCACAGTTTTGATGAAGACATTAATTAAAATAAGAAAACAAATAAAGCTTGCCACATAATCATCTTTTCGGGAATTGTGAATAAATAGCTAGCACCAGTTGGATTACTTCAGCATCAGAATAGCCCTCATCCCACACAAAAAAAGTGCCATTCACTAACTGCTAAAAAATATAACAGAACTCGATTCTTCAGAACGAGAGAGAGAGTGCCTACAACAATCCAAGCACTCCTAGACAATTAAATTCAAAAACCTTTACAAAACAGCAACCATTAGTACGATTGAAAAGAATAATTTTAAAAAAAAACATTCAATTTTATTTCATTTTTTAGGCAAACCCATGTAAATAATCTGCCACCACATACATTTATATATAGATTTTATACTTTTGACAAAATGTGCTTAACAAACAACACGCTTTTATATGTATAGTAGTCGCATAATGGGTGCATAATTTTTCATTTTTATATTTTCTTAACTTCAATTCTGGAAGGCAACAGCGAGGGCGCTATCCAAGACTCTTCCGAAATGCGTCATGAGCTTATCAAGGATGAAGCTACTAGCCCCGCCTTGTTTCACCGAATCGAAGCAATCGCTGCTGAACGAATAGGAAGCGCTCAACCGGGTCCCGACTCCGCCCAAATCCCCCTTGTTAAGCAAATCCCTGCTCATTTCAAGGTCATCCACGGAGTTACCGAAGCTGTCGGTGCAGTCCTCGACGATTTGGGATTTCGTGCTTGGGTCGAGCCCGGCCGTGGCGTTCACTATCACCGGCGTAGCGCTCTGAATCTTCTTAGCCACGTAAAGGGCCGCGTCAATTGCGTTCAGCGTCGCGTCGTGGAGGTTCGTCGCGCCTTTCACGATTTTGGTGCACAATCGCTTGCTGGTTGCCGTTTTGCAAAAAGGGCTGATCACTACCGGTGGAGCATTGCTGGCAGCCGTCATCTCGGTCAGGAAGAGAAGGAAAATGTATAGAAAGAGCATTGAGAAAGACATTGAATTTAGTTTCGCCATGATTGCGGGTTTGTTCTCCTTGCTCTTTCTTTTGCTTTTCCGGTGGATTTTTTTAATTTATTTCTTTTTTGGGCAAGAAGAAAGGAATCAAAATAAAGAAAAGAAAACTGGGTGATTAATACATTGCGGGAAAATGGTCCTTAAATAATGCTGTGTGGTTCTCCATGATTGTAGTTACATGTGAAATGTTTATCCAGCTCTATTTTATTGCTCATCCAATGAAACTTAGTTATAGTTTTCATAGGCCTATCTAACTAAGTTTTATGGGTCTCTCTTGAAACGAAGAGAGACTAAAGTGGATTATCGTAGATATAATATCTTCACGCAAAAAACAACCATCGAAATTATTAATCCTATCTAAAGCACCATCTCGTGAAACATGTCGCAATTTATCATGTTTATTGCTAATAACTCGGTATAAAAATAACCCATTCCAATAATTAGCATATTATATATTCCCTCTATCCCAAAAATTATTGTTCAGTTTGAATATCCACTTCAAGTACAATTTGAACAAAAAATGAAAATTCAAATTGATTAAAAATTTGGAGACGGATAGGGTTATTAGAATAAGTGGTTAGAGCACTAACTTGTTGCTGTCCGTTACCCAATTAATTTTTTTTTAATCTATCTAGTTCTATTGAAAAAAGAAAAGAGCATGGTACTATTTTCAATACACATCTAATATCCAATAAAAATCTAAAACAATTTATGGCTATTAATATGGTATAGTTAATTAATCTTCTTGAATTGAATAGGTTGCAAATCGAAAAATTCTTCAACAACGTGCTCTTACCAACGTATTGTAGTGGTTTAATACTTTCAGGCAATTTTGTCCTTTATTGTACCAAAGAAAAAAGAAAAATCTTCAACAAAAACCACGAATACTGTAATATATGGCCATAATTTGTAGATCACAACTTCCTAAAGGATATAACATGTGTATACTCGTCAATGATAATGAAAAGGAGGTAATTAAGTATAAAAAAAAAAAAGTGTGGTAACTATTTTGAGTTATCCAACATAAAGTCTAAAATAATTCAGAGAATTATGATTGAGGGCATTGAAAAACTAAAATTATTAAAAAAGGTATGCCATTTGTTACTACAATGAAAACATCTTTTTTTGTTAGTTTGATTGGTGAAGAGACTATTCTATCCCTCTCACTAAACAAATAATTCTTTCATGTAATCATAGGTTTCAGGTGCTGATTTTCTCCGCCGTTCACTTTGTCGTGTTCCTTTACGCCGCTGCCACCATTGGTTGCCACGCTCCCGTGAACCAGAATGGAATTTCATTTGTTTGATCAAGATTATTTTATAAAGACATATATGGTTAATCCTCCTTTTTTTAAGTGATTAAAGTTTGTTCATGTTTTTTTGGGTAGCATTGGATTTAATTGGTGCTGAAGAGGGCGGTGAAGAGGAGGATTGGGATGAGTATGAGAGTATTGCCCTTTATGCATTGCCGATAAAAAAAATTCAGGATAATAAATTTCTGCAGTTATAGAGGTTCGTCAGTTGAAGGAAACAAGTTAAGAAAAGAGTAGTGATAGGTATAAGGAGAAAATGACAAAGAAAAATAACAAGGAATGATATGTCAAGATCTTAATTATGCCCTAACCTTAAATATATAAACCCTGTTTGGAAAGTTTTAACAATAGATGGGTGAGATCATTATTCTTAAAAAAATAGGGTAAAAGCCACTGGCTGCCATTGAAGGCATTTAAAATTCAAATACATGAGTTATGCAGGAAATATTCATAAGGTTGGAAAGATGAAATAGTCTATTTTATATTTAGAAAAACATTAAAAATGGTTTTATAGCTAATAGAAAAATCTATGCCTTTCATAATAATTTTTATGTGTTTTCTAATGCCCTTAATGAGAAATCCCCCAAAATAATTTATTGCTATTAATATAGTATAGTAAAGTAATGGGTGGTGATTCTGCCAAAACAAAAAATAGCATTTAAGGCAAAAAATAATTTCTCTTCCCTAAATTACCCTTATCAGAACTATTCTCCTTCCTCTTGTCTCACTTCGTTACATCTCTGTCCCAAATCCAATTCCACTTTTCTTTATCAACTCAAAACACTATACATGACAATAATCAATCAACAGTTCAACATATCCCCACAAGTAAATAAATGTTACTATGCTCCGGCCATGATTATAAATTGCAAACACCAGTTCAAACTTGAAAATTAATTTACAATTACGTCAAAGTGTTTCACTTCATCCTCATCGTGAGTTGCAACGTTGCTTGAGTCGCATAATACATCATAAAAATTGCTCCAACAGCTACATCACAAATTCACTATATACTCCCAGAGATATTGCCACATCTAAGCACTCTATGTTGGGCAACTTTCAAACCCAAATATTGATCACATATGACTACTTATGTGTATAAACTTGATGCTCAATTCGAAAAACTTGGATGCCAAATCAACATCACGCCATCTCACGCTCCCTCCACCCAAAACGAGAGAGAAAAACTTGGATTCTAAAAGAGCGATCAATTCGAAAAATTGCAGGTCAAATTCTTTGAAGTAATCAAACTTTCAAAGCAATGATGATATTAAATCAAATAAAATCCAACATTGCAAATCAATCAAATTGAAACGAAGCGTTTACTTACCCAATTTGATTTTCATTTTTGAGGTTTTAGTAGATGGGAATAACGATTTAGCCCACAAAAAACTATCGATTGTAATTTATAAATAAACCGTTCAAATATTTCCGAAATCTACTCAAAAATTGAATTTAGAAAGAAAAATATTGCCCTCAAGATGGAGGAGGATATCAATGATATGCTAAACTGCTTGCTGCCAGTAAAACTATAAAAAGTTTTATTGTACCCGCCGATGGAGAGAAAAGAAAAGAAAAAGGATGTGATTTATTGGAAAGAGAATCAGGCGTTGCAAATTATATTATGAAGAGGAAAACGTAGATCTACGGAACTGAGGAAGAAGATAGAATCAGTATCACAAGGACAAGATGGTCATTTTGTTCTGGATGCTAAAATATGTTCTGGCAAAATTACTAGCCTAAAGTAATCTTCTCGAACTATAAATAGGTTGCAAACTGAAAATATCTTTAACAAGAACCACGAATACTATAATATGTGGCCACAATTTATTCACCGTTAATTGGTCACGATCCCTAAAGGATATAACCTGTGTATATATGCTAGTCAAAGATATTGAGAGGGATGTAATTAAGTCCAACAAAAAAATAAATAAATAAACAAATCGGTGACATATCTGGGTTCAATCTCTATTAAGAGGTATGTAAAGAGGTTTTACTCACGTTTTACTGGGGTTTACTGAGATGTTTATTTTTTTAAGAAAATAAACAAATTGGTTTCCCTATTTTCCCATAATTGTAATACAAAAAAGAAAATCTTATATGTGTTTCTTAGTGTTGGAAGAGACTGTTAAATATGACTATCTTCGTTCCAGGTTAATAGACCAATCTTGTATACCTAATATTCTAAAAGAAAACACGCCCTTCAAATGTATCCACTTCTAAAATTGACGCATGACAATGTCACATAATTAGCCATGTCATCTAGTAGTTTACTAATTAAATTGATACGCTGTCAAAAATTTTAAAATGACTTAACTAAAAAACATTTTCTTTCCCAAATCGAATCATAATTTTCTTTAATTTTATTAAAGCTTATACCTTCTGATCTCTATCCTCTTGACAATTGTCTTATCAACAATTTGAAATGTGACCCACTCTCTTAATTGCTCGGTTTTCGTTTTGAACACAAACATGAGCCCTTTTTGTTACTCATGTTGAAGGGCCTCCCCAATGTTTTAGCCTTTTAGGCCCTAATCACGGGGGCTGCATCTCTTCATTATCTTTTTCCTTTGCCAAAATTGAACCTGCACTGCGAATAACCCATCTATTAAATCACCCATCCACCATTACTAACCTCCATCCATTACACTAGCAGCACCGTTACTATGGTCCACTGAGGTATTAACGCTATCATGAATTTCAATATCACCATTTCACCTGCCATTACCGAAAAAGTTCAGATTTTGAAAGTTATAAATACAAGTTTCGCAAATATGAACACGAGAGAAGAGTTCTGCAAAGGATTTCAATTTTTTTTACTTGGGGTTGTCGGCTACTTGTTTTAGGCAGCATCTTTTACAAGTGAACGAGTTTCTGTTGATATGTAACTGTCGTTGCACTATCGCATTCCTTGCAAGCTAGATAGTAATAGGATTGTGATATATCTATCAAATGAACGGAAACACTGACAAAGCTTTCCTAGTTGCCAAAAAAAGAAAGGTCAGATTCATGCACAATCTTAAGAATTTAAATAGTTTACACAAGTTATTTTGATATACAAAACTGAAGAACCTCTTGTAGATGGGCAGGAGTTTCCCCCTAACGAGTACTTGGCCATTGTCAAAACATCCTTAATACAGAAACATTTCAAGAACCTTCTTTCCTTCACAGAATTGAAATCTAATTGAGAAATCAGGGGTAATTTCTGAATGTATTAAGGAAATAATATGTTTATTTCATTCATTTGTTTTAATTCTTATATAGAGCAATGAAATTCGTTTTTGTAACAAGTTTAATTCTCTCTTCAATCATTTGAAATGAAAGTCTGTCTACAAAAAGAGTAATTAAAATTGTTGTACAAGATTGTTTCCACCTGATTTTTTTCCTAAACCTCTAATTAAATGAGTAAAGATTTTATTATATAAATATAAACTTATAAAGGATTCATAAAACAATATTTTCATATTTAAAACTTGTCCAAATTAAAGTATAAAACCTGAAAAAAAGATACTTTTTTTATAGGTGAACCAGGACGGTACCTGGCGGGCACCCCTCCCCTCCCCTCCCCCCCGGTTTTATTGATAACAATAGAAAGAGTACACATGCAGTGCTTAAGACTTACCCAAAGAAAGGGAGTCTGTCATACAAAATTTGCTAAAATCTCATAACAGCTCTATGTTTTAGTAACTAAGATGATGCCTTATAAAGATTTTCTATAATCCCTTGGCATCTCTTTTTTTTAAAACAAAAAAAAACATGAAAGGAAATAAAACTAAGAGAGTGCCTCACAAAAGTTTTGTTTTTTTTTTAGCAAAGAAAAGGAGAATTTGGAACTATTTTCAGGTCCCAACTAACTCTAAAATACTCAAGGGGTCTACC